GAAGGTCAAGGCTTGTATCCCAAAAAGAGTGGCTTGGTGTGGAAAGAGAGACCAAAGGAGAGCCCTGCCATAGTTTGAGCCAGGTGGCAGTCGCGCTGGTGTCAGAAATGGTGGTTTCGCGTCTGGCAGATTGTGTCATCTATAATTCTCTTCTCAGCGCCTGCGAGAAGAGCGCGCTGTGGCTGAAGGCCACGCTGGGGCAACATATGTTTCGCTAGGGTCACTTTGTTGTGCTTTGACTTTTCTGAGTCAAGAACCATATTTCCTGGTTCTGAGCAGAACGTATCCCGTTCGAGCCACGGTGAATCCTTGTTGAATCGACAGGCCCTGCACTTCTTGAACTCGCCGAGCGACTCGAAGGACATCATTTCCTTCAGCAGCGTCATGAGCACCTGCGAGAAGCGAGGAAAATGGCAGCTGGCTGTGGCCTTGTTCAAAGCGCTGGAGCAAACCATGAGACCCAACGTGGTCACCTACTCGGCGCTCATGAGCGCCTACGAGACTCGGGCTGGATCTTCAGCATGAACTCGTTGATTCATCGACCACGTCATATTTTCTCCATGAACCCACCCTAAAGTTGTCCACCTGCCTCTCATTGAGCTCCCCCGCGAAGCCTCAAGTTGGTTCAACAAAAAAGTTCCCGTTCCGCCAGGAGAATTGTGGTCGATGGCAGGAAGCCTTGGCTTGTCTGCGAGAGATGGGATCGAGATTGGTGCTGGGCGATGTGATCTCCTACTCTGCGGCCATCAGCGCTTGTGAGAAAAGTAGCCAGTGGCAGAGCGCCATTCTGCTGCTGGAGGAGCTGGAACTCTGCACCTTGCAGGCTGGTATGGGTTGGGTAAACTTGGTTTGAGCCACCAGCCCCTCCCCTGAAAGGGAAACCGAAGTCAGGCTATTCATACATGGGCTTAAACAACCAGCCCCTCCCCCCTTAAAGGGAAGCTGAATTGAGGTTGTTTGCACAGTTGGTTTAAACGACCGGAGTCCCTCCCCTTTTCAAAGGGAAACCGAGCGGAGGTTGTTGAAACAATGCTCCAATCATGGTTTGCAATTTGTCGGGTCAAACCATTCTTGTTTTTTGCTAAACACAAATCACGAAGTGGTAAATTTGGAAACCACCCTCGGAACACCACCAAACCACCAATTGGATCTTGGAGAGCCATGTTCACAATGGTCCTTTTTAGGTTAGTTTGGTTCGAAATGGATGGGTTCCACTGGTCTAGGTTGGTTTTATATTCACCAATTTAGGGGTAGGGTGATCTGGGTAATCTTAGAGGGATCGAAGCTGAGGGGAACGTCGTCACTTGGACCGCGGTCATCAGCGCTTGCGGGGCCAGCCGCTGGGAGCAGACCCGTCAGCTCTTTGATCTGCTTCTGGTCAAAGCCGTGCAGCCGAACATGATCACGTACAGCAGCGTGGCAAGCTGTGGGCTCAACTCTTGTTTTGCCTCTCTCGTGGGGGCTGGGAGGGAGGGGAGAGAGGGGAGGGAGGGGAGGGAGGGGAGGGAGGGAGCCCAAATAGGCCCTTATTAAGCTGGGGCTTATTTGGGCTCCCTTCCTCCCTCCCCCCCCCCAGCCACCGTGATGTCCTTTGGTTTGGATTGCTGGGACTCATCAACCAACCCAAAAAGGGTGACATTCATAGGTACCCTTTTTAGGTTAGTTTGGCTAAACACAGATGGGTTCCGCAGGGTCTCAGGACAATCTATTTTACTCAAAGGATGCCTATGGCTGCTCTTGTGTTTCTATGGCCAATTGGCTGAGGCAATACCGTGGCAGCGTGTGAGGCAGGCCAGCTTTCCACTCAAGCCACACTACTTCTGGCAGAGGTTTCACCGCAGGGAATGGATCTTTTGTCGAGCCTCGCTGGACGCAAAAGAGGCACTATTTGCGCAACCTACGTCTTTCAGTCTATATGATACAATACACGCTGAGATATATGAATATACTTAGGCCATACAACAAGTTGCCTGAAGTGGACGCAAGAGAAAGATGTTGACTCCCATGCCTTGCCGCATCTTAGCATGTTGCCGAGGGCAATCAAAAGTGGGGTTTAGTTGGCTTTTGGCTTGTTCGCCTCGGCTTGATGCCAAGGTTGGTCCAAGATCAACAAAGAGATGCACGCTGTTCTGTCGCAGGAGAGTGCTCGGCCCTCAACTTTTGATGCCTCGCACCGTTGGTTTCGGCATACCCATGCCCGATTCTTTGCTGGGCCGAAAGTGGTTGCATTTGGATGCTCAAGAGTACAGCGTACCGACCTTTGGTATGTCAAACGGGCTCCCGTCAGGGTCAACACTTTTTTGGATGTGACTTTTTCTGATGGTCACAGTCAAAAGCTGGAATCGGTTGTTTCCCTTTGACCCACCACCGAACGGGGGTGACTGTGGCAGCGGAATGGGGCCGGTTTCACGCAAGTGACTCAGGTCCTCTCACTGTGCCGCTTTCTTTGCCAAGCCGGAAGCGGCCACGGATCAAGCGGAGAGGCCGCATCGCTGCATCGTTGCACAGGGTCGGGTTTGACAGAAACCAACATGGAACTGTTTTTGGAGGGTACCCTTCTTGGGGTTGGTTTGACGGGAAGCACATGGAGAACCACCCAACTATTTGGAGGTGTCTCCTATTTTGGCCATTGCACGGGTGCCTTGAAGGCTTGAAGGCATGCTCTTTTGTTCCCCTTTTCAACGTTTCCCATGGTGCTTTTCACGACGTCATAGGTTTGGAAAGGCCCCTGGGGAGAAATCTGCTTTCCACCTTGTCCTTTTGTGACACCTATGTCCCGGTTGCCACCGGCCGCTCGGAGAACAAATTCGCCAGGCGGACACCTTCCAGATGGCCGGGGAGATCCTGGTGGCCCTCGCAGCGTCTCCGGACCGCCCTTTTGGGGGAGAAGAAAAACAAATTGCGCCGAGCAAAACCGTTTCGGGTGTTGGGGGGGGGTTGGGGGGGGGGTGTGGGTGTGTGTGTGTGTGTGGCAAAGGTAATGTCCGAAAAACAAAAAAAAATATAATCCCTTGAAAACTAGGGGTCAATTGCAATTCCAGAACCCTCCGACAAGCATGATTTGTAGGCCAGAACTACTGAACCGTTATCAGATGACCCCCAAAATAATGTTGTCCCCATACCAATCATCCCCAGTTTATGCATACGGGGGTGCTTTTGCCTCGCTGAAATGTGGGGAATCAGACCACTTCTGGAGGGTTGGGTGAAATGTGGGCACTTTTGGAGGGCCCCCCCCAATATGCTGGGGGTTGATTAATATGGGGTAAACATTAGATGGTCAAGAAATAATCTGAACCATACATTGGGTGCCTTCGCCGCCTGGTTAATTTCTGAATCATGGCTCTGGGTAGATGTTTTTACTACCAGGCGTTGATGATAGCTCGCTTGTTTTTAGTTGGCAGCCCTGTTCTGGGTTTGAAAAGGAAACCAAAAGGAGAGCACAGAGTTTGGGGGGGTTGCTCTATCTTGAGACGCGGAACTGGTGTTTCTCAAAGGAATCGATCCCCAGCTGGTTTTATTCCGTTTGGTTCCCTGCCAAAAGGGTGCGGATTGGCCCACCTAGAGAACTCCCAAGACATTGCAAGGGGAGCAAGGAGAACAAGAACCCCCCCCCAAATCTAGCGTAGCTTACTGAGGTTTGGTCAGGTACGTTGCAAGTAAGAATCCTCTAAGTGCATATACGTGTACTCCAAACATCCCAGAGGAAAATAGAAGATAAGCGCTAGAGAGGCAGGGTGCGGCACTTCGTGTTTAAACACCCAGGCCCCATTTAGGGGGAGCCGCAAGAAAGAGTGTTACAACAATGGCTTCACGGTTCTGGACATGTGAATTGTTTTTTTTTTTTTTTTTAGTTTGCTTCTGTTTATGTTGGTGGCCCCCAAAAAACACGGGTTTTTGGGCTGAGAATGCCAAGGACAGATGAGTATGGGTCAAAATTAAACCAAGAATCGGACCGCAGGTTTTAGTCTTTGTGTCCATCTACCAGGGCAACCCATTTTGGGGTTACCAACTATTTCGACCCACAGCCATATCCACAGCCAAGAAGACCGGACTTCGCCCTTTGTGCCATACCCCATTGGGCCCGGCTGCATTACACCCAGATGTTGGTGAAACCAACCTCTTTCCTCTAAGCGCTCCCGAAACCGTCAGGAGCACCTGGCCATGGTCCGGACGGAGCTGATGACGGTTTTGGCTTACTTGGCCGTTGCCTCGGGGCGGACGTGAAAACGCTTCGAGGCGAAAAGAGGCTGTTGATGACCGGGCGAAACGAACGAAAGCGGAAATCCGGAAGAATGGTAAAAGGAGCAGGGGTCGTTATTTTTCAACTTCTTTGGTTTGTTGTGTTTTTTTTCCCCGGGGGGGTGGGTGGTCAAAGTCAGAAACTGGTGGATGGTTTCCCTTCAACCTACCACTGGGCACCTGGGGGGGGGGGGTACTCACTCCCTGAGTTCTCCCTCAGTTCCTGGACTTTGCACTGTGTGGGAAGACTCAGTTCAGTGGCAAAAGTTTGGCGACCTCGTTTGGCCAGTCCACTCAAGTATGGAAAGTGGAGACCTTGCATGTGAACAAGAATCTTCCGATGTTGTTCCTTGCCGTTGGGGGTGTCGAGGTTGCACAAAAGCGGCGATTGTCGTTCAAAGTTTCCAGCCCATGATTCATGCGGGAGGGTCATAGGGAAAGTCAACAGAACTCAGACATCAACCACAAAACCAGGGCACGAGCTCCAATTTGTCCATGTCCTCTTGAGAAAACCTTAGTGACTTTGACTCATTGACAGTCGAGTGCTTCACCCCTCTCCAGTCAGGCCCCAATTGGCTTGCCTGGCGCTGACTTGGAACCCCGGGGTTCCATGTCAGATAGTCTTGAGAGCGCGTTTCCTTTTTTTGGAACCACCGAAAGTTGTTGGGGTTGATTCCATTTCCATTATTTGTCACCATCGTTCTTTTCAAACAAACAGCCATTTTCTCTGGGTTTCCGGAGATTTTTTAAGAATCGGATTTGTAGATGGAAGGTACTGGAAAAGTGGTGGTCCCCCCTCAGTTGCTCTCGGATTTTTTTTGGGCATCTGATTTTTTCGCGTCGAGGTCACCAACATCGAGGCCGACCTGGTGAAGTGCGAGCCGGGCTCTGCGGACCCCTCCACCATGGAGACCCGCCTGCTTCGATTGGTGCGGACCCTCGCAGAGGCGCCATGGCATGGATTGGATGAGCAAAGCCCAAGAGGTGTGTGGCTTAAAAACTGGGGGATCGGGCCCCAAAAAGTGGGGCTCCCCAGGAAGATCCTTCTTTGCTCATAGCAAAGGTTTTGGGTGTGTGTCTTGAACTTAGGGCCCACAAATTGGGCTTCAATCCCAAGAATTCCTGCTCCCCTTGTTATGGCTTTGCTCACCCCAAGAGGGGCCAATTATTTTACTACCAGGCTCACCGACCAACTCGGTAACTTTTTTGCTTTTTGCCCTTTTGGGTGTTGGTGAGTGTCGGAAAGTTTCGCCCATGCTGGGAGTAGTACTGTGCGAATCGGTTGATTCCCGGTTCTCTTCACTATACGTGCGTTCTTCAAACAATCAACGGTTCCTCTGGGCTTTGGGAAAGACAATCGCTGCGCTGGAAACATGGGGGTCCTTTTTGGAAAATAGATGGCTCTGATAGGCCCTCTGCTTTTAACCAAACCAACAAAGTAACAGAAAGAATTTGCGGAAGTTGCCGTGGCCAGAAAGCATCCGTCTCATCTGCAGGTCTTCAAAGAAGCTGCCAAAGCTTCGCCCAAGGACGGCCGGGAGATCCGACTGGTACGCCAGCGTGCGGACTATCTCCCGGGTTTCTGTGAGCATCCAGGGTGTTTGGCGCAAACACGTGCGCGTGCGTTGCTTGGTTATTTGTTTGTTTTTGTATGTTTGGTTTGGTTGGTTTGGTTGGTTTGGTTGGTTTGGTTTGGTTTGGTTTGGTTTGTTTGCTTGCTTGCTTGCTTGCTTGCTTGCTTGCTTCCTTGCTTGCTTGTTGGTTTTGCTTCGTTGTGTTTTTGCTCGTTTGGTTGGTTGTTTTTCTGTCTGATTGATTTGCTTGCTTATTTGTTTGATTTGTTGTTTGTTTCTTTGTTTGTTTTTTTTGTTTGATTGTTTGTTTGTTTGCTTGCTTGCTTGCTTGCTTGCTTGCTTTTGCGCGCGCGCACATGTCTCTCTCTGTGTCTCTCTCTGTGTCTCTCTCTGTGTCTCTCTCTGTGTCTCTCTCTGTGTCTCTTTTCGTGTCTCTCTTTGTGTCTCTCTCTGTGTCTCTCCCTGTTTCTCTCTCTGTGTGTCTCTTTGTGTGTCTCTCTGTGTCTCTCTCTGTGTCTCTCTCTGTGTTTCTCTCTGTGTCTCTCTCTGTGCCTCTCTGTGTGTCTCTCTCTGTGTCTCTCTCTGTGTCTCTCTCTGTGTCTCTCTCTGTGTCTCTTTTCGTGTCTCTCTGTTTGTCTCTCTCTGTGTCTCTCTCTGTGTCTCTCTCTGTGTCTCTCTCTGTGTCTCTCTCTGTGTCTCTCTCTGTGTCTCTCTCTGTTTGTCTCTCTGTGTGTCTCTTTGTGTGTCTCTCTCTGTGTCTCTCTTTGTGTCTCTCTCTGTGTCTCTCTCTGTGTCTCTCTCTGTGTGTCTCTCTGTGTCTCTCTCTGTGTCTCTCTCTGTGTCTCTCTCTGTGTCTCTCTCTGTGTCTCTCTCTGTGTCTCTCTCTGTGTCTCTCTCTGTGTCTCTCTCTCTCTGTGTCTCTCTGTGTCTCTCTGTGTGTCTCTCTGTGTCTCTCTCTGTGTCTCTCTCTGTGTGTCTCTTTGTGTGTCTCTCTGTGTCTCTCTCTGTGTCTCTCTCTGTGTTTCTCTCTGTGTCTCTCTCTGTGCCTCTCTGTGTGTCTCTCTCTGTGTCTCTCTGTCTCTCTCTCTGTGTCTCTCTCTGTGTCTCTCTCTGTGTCTCCCTCTGTGTCTCTCTGTGTGTCTCTCTGTGTGTCTCTCTGTTTGTCTCTCTGTGTGTCTCTTTGCGTGTCTCCTTGTGTGTCTCTCGGGGGGGGGCCGCCGTTTTGAGAGAGACCCACGTTGCGACTAGAATCTTTGGCTTGGCCAGCACAGATGCGGTTCAAGTCTATCACAGCGGTCCTCAGAACATGGCCATCTCTTTGCTTTGGGCCACATTTTCTCATGTCAGAAGCACAGGTGTCCTTTGTAGCTCAGTTTGCTTGAGACAAGATATGTTGCACTTCCCTCTTGGCTCGATTTTTTCTGTTTTCACCAGTGCCATCCACATTTGTTCCCCCGAAAGGGCCACCTAGACCGGTGAGACTCGACTCGACTCGCGAATTCGGCCAAACCACGACGCGCCGCGAGGAGCTGAAGATCGAGGTCTTCCTGCAGGAGGCTCGCCTGGAGGATCTCTGGGTCTCCCTGGCCCGGGTCCAAGCTCGGCGCGTGGACGGCCAGGGCGGTTTCCGGAAGGCCCCATGATTTTGCCATGGTCAAAGTCACCCACGTTGAGTGGCAGGGTGAAG